ATTTGGTTGTCTCGGGAGTTCAGGGCCTGCCTCTCATACATCGTGAGCTCGGGAGATAATTGGGCCGCTCGGTGAGGGGATCTTGAACCCTGCTGGAGACATCTCGGGACATCTCGCGGAGTTCGTGGACTTCTATTTCCAGGTTCCCAGTTTCCTGCCTGGTTACTCAGGGTGGCAGGCCTTGGGCACAGAGGAAGGAGCTGATATTTTGGAGGCTGCGGAGAAGGAGGTCTTGAGGATCCCCCACTCTGCGCGCCGCGGGTCTTTCAAGGACTGGGGTGTTTGGCTATTGGACGGTCTATCTAAAGGAGGAAGGAGGGCTCGCAACTGGGCGGTGGTTGTGCAAACCGTGGAAGGCCACCACCACTTTATCCAGGCATGGTCAGATAATTGCTGACCCCATGTCCCCCATTCAGACGGAAGTTGCCAGATGTTCGGAGCGTTGGTGTGCTGGAAGTGAACCAGATTGTCCTCCATCCCAGGTCAAGTTTTTGGAACCTCTTCCCAGGCTTACCCCAGAGGAGATTCGCAAAATCAGCAAGTCGTACTCTCAGCACACCGCGGTTAGTATCGACGGCTTCGCGATGATGCGCTACACCAGCCTTTCCGACGGCTGCCTCGAGTGTCTCAGCACCCTGCATTCCATCATCGAGAGCACAGGGGTGTTGCCGCATCATGCCAGCGTCTTGCATTTTGCTTTCTTAGCCGAGCCCGCAGGAGGCTTCAGGCCCATAGGGCTGTTCAGCAGTGCATATCGTCTGTGGGGGAGGGCGAGGAGAAGGATGCCGGCTGAGTGCGAGCTCGCCAACAGCCGTCCTTGCCTAGCTGCATCCTCTTTCAACGGTGCCAGTGATGCTGCGTGGAGCCAGTGCCTTCGCAGTGAGTATGGAGTGCGCACAGGGCAAGCTGCAGCGACTATCCGGTGGGATTTAAGAGAGGTCTACGAAGGTATGCGCCTCAACCTTTTCGAGTTTCGCGCACGTCAATGGGGGTTCCCTGGGCAGCTCACACGTGTGAGCATGAAGGCACATCGAGGCGCTAGGTTTATCACTATGTCTTCCATGTCTGCTGGTCCGCTGTATTCTGCCAACGGGGTCATCGCAGGTTGTTCTACGGCCACGACATTTGTGCGCATGTATGTCATACTTGCATTCGATGTAATCGGTATCCCTCGGTCTGCATCGCTGTGTATGTACGTCGGCGATTATGGCATCTCGGCTGTCGGGGATGAGGTATGCGTCCGCAATGATTTGAAAGAGTTGTCTACCACGGTCATGCGTGCTATACAGAAGGACAAGGCATGTTCAGCTGCTGAGGACAAGGCTGCAGTGGTGTCCTCTAGCAGTCGTCTTGGGAAGGGTCTCGTGAAGTTCTTGGGTGTCTTCGGAGGCGACGGTATTGGTATGTCTGGGGTCAATCTGGGCGTGGACGACACTTCTGGAGTGCTCCGCGAGCGCCGAGGAGGCCCCGGGAAGGCCAAGGACCGTCGTCGGGTTCTCTTGGGCAGGCTCCGTAGGTTTTCGAAGGTTCAGAAGGCCTTGGGGAATCACTCCAGGAAGATCTTCATTGCGGGGCCGCTCTGTGGAGTAACCCGTGGAGCTGAAGTTCGCGGTGCCTCGGATGCAGAATTGCGGGCCCTCAGGAGATGCTCCAGCAAGTGCGTTAAGGTTTCCGCGGGGTCCAGAAGCCTGACTACCTTGACTTGGCTAGAGCACGACCCGCGCTACTACGCGCGCGTTGGGCCAGTCCTCCGCTTCTCCATGGAGATCTGGCTCAACCAGACGAGACAGTGCCAGTTCTCCGTTCCGTTCTCTATGCTGCGGCGCGCGTGGGGGGCTGCCATCTCGGGGGGGGCTCCTACCTGGCGCCAAGTTTCAGGTCCCATGTCGCCGGCTAGGGCATCTTTGCACTGAAGAGGATGGAGGATGCCGAGCTTCGTGGAGCTGGAGACGGAGTCGAGAGCTGCCTGAACAACCAGCCCCAAGCTTGTCAACAAGTTTCCGAGAGAAGGGGCCCGGAGGCACTTTCAGAGGGAGGCTGCGATCAAGCATGGTCACCCTGAAGGTTCTCGCGTTTGCCTGGGCGTTTTTCGCCGGGCGCTCAATTCCGACAAATGGTATGCCTTCCAGAAGGGCTGTATTAGGTCTTTTGTATGTAGTGCGATATGGACAGGCCCCTGAGCCCAGGAGGCGGGCGACCTGCTCGACGGTGTCTCCTGCCCGCTGCGCGGCCTCAGTGACAGTATGCATCGCAGGTTATGGTGCTGCCAGGCCGTCAGAGATCGGATGCTGCGAAATCGGAGATCCTCGAGCGTGCTACCGCACTTCAGCCCGATCACCCCGATTGGTTTATGTTCACCACTGGAATGTTCTTTCGCCCTGGAGATCTGGCCCCGCCCCCGATCATGGAAGGTGGAATGGTAGTCGGGCGATGCGACGGCAGACCCCCTGAGTCCACGGACATTGAAGGTTTAGTGTTTTTTTGGGCGGGTCAGCCTTAAAGGGCCTTTTCCTCGTATTGTATAGAGCTGGCTGGGGGCTAGTTTTTATGATTATGATGGCCGCATTTTGTGCACCCTAGAAGGCCCTGTTCCTAGGTGACTCCTGCAGACCTCGCAGGCTGGTGAATCTTTTTGGCTCGGGGCCACCGGCGAGCTCCTTTGCTGGCCTAGTCTGGGGTTCTCGGACTGTAGAAACTCGTCCGAAGTTTCAAATCCCCGTTGGCTTTTAGGTTGGACTAAAAGAGACAGTATGCAGGCACGTGTCTTAACCTCTCCTCCAGTAAGTATTCCAGCGTGCAGAAGGTCAAGGCACACGCTTCTTGAGAAGGCCTCGAGGGCGATTTATTATTTGGCAAGGTCGGCAATGGTGAAGCGGGTAGGGCTACAACGAGAGGGGCCAATGTCACCCCGCTCCCAGCCACGCTGAGTCGGTCCAGATCAGAGATCAGCTTTCAATTTCCAAAGCAGTCGTTGCGCTCGCTGCGTGCGTGCTGCCAGAATGGCCATATTGAATTTGGATGCCGTCCCTCGTGTTGCATCCGTCGGCCGAGGATCCATCCCTCGCTTCAGCCACGCCTGGTCGTGGTGCAAGCGTTTTTGGTGCTGCCATGTTTGTTTGGCCTCCAGCAGAAGGGAGCGAAAGCCTCCCACCCGTGGTTGCAGCGGCCCCCCACCTGAGAGAATGTTGGAGATTACGGGGCACGGCCATAAGCTGGTGGTCCTTTCGAGCTCCGACGACACACTCATCTATGCATGCAGTGCCTGTTGTGAGTACACCTCTGGAGGGCAGGTCCGTAACTTTTCTGAGCCATGCTTCGGAGCCCCCCAGAGTAATGGAGCTTCTCAATCCTGGAAAGACCTTTGCAAAAGGCAAGCACCTGAAACTTTCGGGGGGTCCGGGTTGAGCCTTTCCCTCTGCGAGACTAACCTCCCAGTCCCACCCTCGTGAAAAGAAGCTCCTCCTCTTCCTCCTGGGTCAGATGTCGCACCGTGGAGTCCCATTCTCATCAGCTGGGAAGCTGGCGTTTTTGATGTCTATTTGCCCCGTCCAGTGGCTGCAGTCGCATGCGTCTCCCCCACCCAGTACAGCGTTTCGTGGCCCCACTGAGCTCCACCAAAGGCCTCACTGGCTGAACCCACATGCGTCCCCCCCGTTCATTGCAGCGCTTCGTGGCCCCATAGGCAGCTCCACCGAAGGCCCCACTGGCTGCATTCGCATGCGTTACATCCACCCAGTACAGCGTTCCGTGGCCCCACAGGGAGCTCCACCGAAGGTCCCGCATGCGTCTCAACCGCCCAGCACAACGCTTCGTGGCCCCATGGGGGGCTCCACCGAAGGCTTCAGTGGCTGCACTCGTATGTGTCTTCCCCGCCCAGTGCAGCGTTCCGTGGCCTCACAGGGAGCTCTACCGAAGGCCCCTGTGGCAAAGTCCACATGCGTTTCCCCCACCCATAGGGAGCTCCATCGAAAACCCCAGTGGCTGCATTCGCATGCGACTCCCCACCCAGTGCAGCATTGCGTGGCCCATAGGGATTTCCACCGAAGGTCCCATTGGCTGCAGTCGCATGCGTCTCCCCTGCCCAATACAGCGCTCCGTGGCCCCACTCCACCGAAAGCTCCAGTGGCAAAGCCCACATGCGCCGCCCCACCACCAAGTACAGCGTTTCGTGGCCAAAATGTAGCTCCACCGAAGAAGCCAGTGGCAAAGTTCGCATGCGTCTCCCCTACCCACTACAGCATTTCGTGGCCCGTACGGAATTCCACCGAAGGCTCCAGTGGCGACGTTCGCTAGCGGTTCCCCCACCCAGTACAGCGTTCCGTGGCCCCATAGGAATTTCCACCGAAGGCCCCAGCGGCGGTGTTCGCATGCGTCTCCCACACCCAGTACAGCGTTTCGTGGCCCATAGGGAGCCCCACCGAAGACGATACCCACAATTGCGGTATTCACAACTGCATACGGTTGGTTTTTTTGCCATGCTAATTTCGCCCTCCCGTTCGCGACCCAAGGTCGGCGGAGGGCGGCGGAAGTAAAACGACGCGGCCTCCGCCAGCAGAAGCTGGCGGAAGCCCGCGGAAGTAAAAGATGCGTCCCCAAGAGATGGCAACGTTTTTGAGTTTAGGGTTTCCGGAACCCGCCATAGAGGACCGCAGCCCCCTACATCGGGTCCAGGAGCGTTTTTTGATCCCTGGGCGATAACGGGCGTTACCGGCTGGGAGGCTTAGGGGGGGGGGGCGGTAATGTCACGACGTGTTGCGCTGGCGCCGTCTAGGAATGCCAGGAAGAACGAGAAGACCATTCGAAGGGCAGCGCGACTCGTGGGCGACGACGTTACAGCATCGGGGGCAAATCGCCCCAGAGCGTTCCGGAAGGCTCTCGGAGAGTTCCTGAACGCCCCGACGACGACGACGACGACGACGACGACGACGACGACGACGACGACGACGACGACGACCGCGGCGCCCCTCAGAGCCACCAGGTCTGAGATTCCCAATGTGTCCCGATCTGGCTCTGTCCCGCTCGTGCATAAGTTTTTGCCGCGTGTCTCGAGGCCGGCCGCCCGGGCCCAGGCTGATGGACCAATCTTCCACCACCGCTACCATAGTTCGGACGGGGGCGAAGAGAGGATGAGGAGGTCCTCCCCTTCCTCTTCCTCCTCCTCCTCCTCCTTCCCTCCTCCTCCTCCTCCTCTTCCTCCTCCTCTTCCTCCTCCTCCTCCGCCTCCTTCTCCCCCCTGCTCCTCCTCCTCCCTCCTCCTCCTCCTCCCTCCTCCTCCTCCTCCTCCTCCTCCTCCTCCTCCTCCTCCGCCTTCTTTTCTCCCTCCTCCTCCTCCTCCTCCTCCTCCTCCTCCTCCGCCTCCTTTTCCTCCTCCTTTTCCTCCACCTCCTCCTCCTCCGCCTCCTCCTCCTCCTCGTCGTACTCCTCCCCCCTCCTCCCCCTCCTCCTCCTCCTCCTCCTCTCCTCCTCCTCCTCCTCCTCCTCCTCCTCTCCTCCTCCTCCTCCTTCCTCCTCCTCCTCCTCCGCCTCCTTTTCCTCGTCCTCCTCCTCCTCCTCCTCCTCCTCCTCCTCCTCCTCCCTCCTCCCTCCTCTCCTCCCCCTGCTCCCCCAGGGTGCCCGAACTCCTCCTCCTCCTCCTCCTCCTCCTCCTCCTCCTCCTCCACCTCCTCCTCCTCCTCCTCCTCCTCCTTCTCCTCCTCCCCCCAGGCTGGCCGAACTCCTCCGCCTCCTTCTCCCCCCTGCTCCTCCTCCTTCTCCTCCTCCCCCTCTTCCTCCTCCTCTCCTCCCCTCCCCATCCTCCTCCTCCTCCTCCTCCTCCTCCTCCTCTCCTCCTCCTCCTCCTCCCCTCCTCCTCCTCCTCCTCCTCCTCCTCCTCCTCCTCCTCCTCCTCCTCCTCCTCCTCCTCCTCCTCCTCCCTCCTCTCCTCCTCCTCCTCCTTCTCCTCCTTCTCCTCCTCCTCCTCTCCTCCGTCTCCTCCTTCTCCTCCTTTTCCTCTTCCTCCTCCTCCTCCTCCTCCTCCTCCTCCTCCTCCTCCTCCTCCTCCTCCAGCCCCTCTGGCCCAGGCATTGTCCTGGGCTTGTCGCTGCGAACGTCAGAGGGGCGTTGCAGCGACGGGCCAGGCTCGTTGACCGCCCCATCCCTCCTTCCATCATTCCTCCTTCCCCTCGCGAGCAATGGGGGCGGCGGACGGATGGGGCCCGGGGCCCCCGCGTGCCTGGGGCGGGCGATGGAGGCCCCCCTGGCACAGCAAGGCAGGTGTCAGACGCGAGGCGGCTCTGCGAGCCATCTCTGAAGGCCGCCGAGTCCACGCCCCCACGCAGAGGGGCGCCTCGCGGCCGCCACGCTGGCACTGCGCATGCGGGTGCAAGAAGAACGAAGACTTCATGGATGCGTGCAAACATTGTCGGCAACCTCGGTCTGAAGGTGAAGTGGATCCAGCTGATGGGCGCGATCATCTTCAGCCTGTTCTGGGTGCGATGCCCCGCCGAGGAGCTCTGCGTGGAGGCACTGCGCTCGCGGGCCCCTCTGGGGCCAGTGCCGCCCGCAGGGCCGACAGCCCAGCAGTTCGGTTCGAGGGGGACTGCGCCCTCTCCAAGTCCGAGCTGCTCCAGCTGGTCAACCTGTCCGACAAGGCTGGTGACACGGCTAACGCCGACAAGTACCGCAAGGAGCTGGGCAGGCTCGCTGCAGCTGTCGCGCCGCAGCCTGTTCAGCAGAGGGCTTCCACCGCCCACTCCAGGGTGGTCACTCTGGAGGCCCAGCTTCAGAAGGAATCGGACAGGCTCGAGGAGCTCCTGGGCATGGTGGAAGAGCAAGGGCAGCGCGTGGCAGATGTGCAGGCCAGCCTGCAGGAGGCTGATGGCGAGTACAAGCTCATTGTGGCCGAACTTGCCAGCGCCTCGGGCATGGTCTCGGAGCCCGAGCTGTTGCAGTCCAAGCCCGTCATCTGTATCAACAAGTTGGTCAAGGGCGAGCTGGGCGCGGACCAGCTGTTTGATGTGCAGGCCTTCTTCGATGCCGAGGATTTCGAGGCATCGGAGGACGACCAGAAGGAGATTCGGAAGCGGATCGGCCAGATGCAGGAAGCCTTGCAGAAGTGCGCCAAGGACTTGTTCTCTGGTGCCCTGCAGTCGGTCGAGGCGATCAAGCAGGAGCATGCGGAGCACAAGGCTCGCATGTCCAAGAAGCGGAAGGTTGAGGAGCCGAAGGTCGAGGAGGCGAAGGGCCCTGCTGCTGCGGCGGCAGCGGTGCCCCCTGGCGGACCCGCCCGAGGTGCTGCTAGCGAAGGAGCTGGGGCTGCTGCTGCTGCCCCCCCGTCCTGGAGCCAGTGAGCGGGGTGAGTCCCGTGCGGCCTCGGCTAGCAGCCCCAGCGGTGCGAGGGTCGAGCCCAGGGGTGGAGGCGGTGGAGCTGCTTCTACCCGTGCTCCCTCTGGGACTGCCGCAGTCGCAGCTGCTGCGTCTCAGGCCTCGGACGTGCGCTCGAAGGCCCAGAGGTTGCTTCAGGCAGCCTCCGAAGCAGGGGGCCCTCGTGCACTTTCGGAGCCCCCCTCAGGAGCAGTTGCGTGAGCTGAGGGGGGCGGTCTCAGTCAAGATAGCTGAATTCGTAGATCTGATTGGCGTGTCCAAGGGAGGCTTCAAGTCTCCCTCCGATGGAACATTCGGGGTTTCTCCCAGGATCTCCCCCACTCCTGGGCGCGGGGCGAGAGGCCTAGGCTTAGCGAGAGGGGTCGAGTTAATTCGGATTTTTCCAAGGTTTCTTTTGGAACACCTGAAACCGAAGTTTTGAAGGGCAGGTCGTTTCGGGGGTCTGGGGTCGCGGGGCCAAGCCAGGTGTGTGGGCACGGGCTTATTCGGGTCCCCCCCCCCCCCCCAGCCGCCAAAAGACGACTTCGCTTTGATTATCGAAACGTGCAATTGCTCTGGTTGGGGATCTATGTGTGACTGGTTGAAGCTTACCTGCTCACACGTGATCCTGGTGCAAGAGCATCATCTTAGAGGTTCCAAGATTGATGACGCTTCTAGTTGGCTTGTCAGGCACGGCTGGAAGGGTCTGTTCGGCGAAGCGACTTCGGGTGCTGGTGCTGGCACTCGAGGCGGTGCAGCGATCCTAGCCAGGGGTTGGCTTGGGTTGCACGATGCTTTCCCGAAGCGGCCTGGTGGCAATGTGCTGGTGGCTGGCCGTGCGATCGTCGGCGCCGTGCACTTGCCCAGCTCGACGGCGATATCGATGGCGTCGCTGTATATGTTCGACGGGGAAGGCTTGTCGGATCGAAACCTGGACATCCTTCGTTTTGTAGGGGGTGCCCTCGCCACGACTGGAAATGAATGTATCGCGGGGGCTGACTTTAACCTATCCCCTGAAACCCTCTTGGACATTGGTTTTCCTGAGCGTCTTGGGGAGCTCGTCCGTGCTGATTGCGAGGCCACTTGCTTCACGGGGCAAGGAGGGCAGTCCCACATCGATTATTTTGTTGTTTCCCCTGGGGTGGGCAAGGTGGTCAAAGAAATTGCGGCTATCACGTCCGCTGTGATTAAGACCCACACCCCTGTTGCTCTCACCCTTTTCCCCAGGGCTGCCCAGTTGCAGGCCTTGCAGTTCCGAAGCCACCCCAAGCTTCCGACCGCCAGGCCTGTCGGCCCCTCCGCCGCCCCTCCTGTGTGGGATGATGTTTTGGGGCACGGTCGCCGTGTGCTGGGCTTGGCTCGGGAAGCTAAGGTCGAGGGGGCCTTGGAGGGGATTGACAGACTTTACGCCTGGTTTGCTAAGAGGGCCGAAAAGGAGCTGGCTCTTGTTGGCCAGGTTGATCTTTACTATTATGGCAGCAGGGCCAAGGCTCCAGAGCTCCTGTGGGCCCCTGTGTTTAATGCCAAAACTGATCCTTTCAGGTATCCTGAGATGGCGGCCCTTAAGTGGGTCGACAACCGCGTCAGGCAACTGTTCGGTCTCTACCAGTCTGGTGATGCTCCGCGCCTACGTGGTGTTTGGACGGATCCACCGCGTTTCGTGCTTGACGGCGTTGGGTTGCACAGGCCGTTGCTCGATGAGATTGCTGCCGCAGCCTCAGCTGCCAGCTCGGTCGCAGGAATTGAGCCAGCTGAGGTAGAGTTACTTTGCACTAAGGTGGCGGAGGTCTACGGGGAGGTATCCAGCAGGACTCAGGAGGCGGCAAGGACGGGATGGAAAAAATGGTTGCTGGCTAATATCGACAAAGGCGGGCGTAATGCCCATCTTGCTAGGAAGCCTGCTCCAGGGTGGAAGCCCACCACCACCTTGAGCGCTGGAGGCTTAGTTGTTTCGGACCCCCTTTCCTTGCTCAGGTCGGAGTCGGCCAAGTTCGCTGGCCTCTGGCAGGCCGCGAATGAGCCCCCTGGGCAAGGTTCCGAAGGAGTGCAGGATGCGCTCCCTGCCTTGGAGCCAGATTTTATCCGCGGGGTGTCGTCGCGATACCCAGTTCGGTCTGCTCAGAGTATTGACGGATTCCATATGACGCACTATAGCTGGCTCTCTGATGATGCCCTCTCAGTGGTGTCCCAGCTGTTTTCGCTTATAGAAGTCCTGTCCACCCTCCCCTCCCAACTTAGGATCATTCAGGTCGCCATGTTGTTGAAACCTAATGGAGGGTGGCGCCCAATTGGGTTATTTGTTTCCCTTTATCGGCTCTGGGGGCGTTGTAGAAGGGTTTATGCGCAGCAATGGGAGATTGCCAACATGAGACCCTACTTTGCGGGGTCAAAGTTCGCTGCTGCGTGCGATACTGCCTGGAGACAGGCCTTGCGTTCGGAGGCCGGAACCTCGAGGGGCAAGGTCTCTGCCACAGTGCTTTGGCACATGGCCAAGTTTTATGAAACTTTCCAGTTGGATCGCCTGCTCCATCAATGCAGGGTTTACGGATTTCCCATGGTCATAGCCCAGCTCTGTGTGAACACGTATAGGAGTGCCCGTTTTATCAGCATGTCTAGGATGGTTTCAGGACCGCACTACGCCCTGCTGGGTGTCATCGCGGGCTGCAGCTTCGCGACCAGCTTTGTGCGGGTGTGCCTCATAGGCTCCTTTGATCGGCTTGAGTTACCTCGCGCTGTCACCCTGGACCAATATATGGATGATTCTTGGTTGAACAGTATTGGCACAGCTCGTGAAGTGACTGCCGACATCAAGGTTGCCTCTGCTAAGTTGTACCAAGTTTTTGTTGGTGAGTTAGGCTGTGATGTTTCGCGCGAGAAGGCCAATTTTGTCTGTTCGGACAAGAGTGTCGCTTCGCAGCTCCGCTCCTTTCTCGGCGATCTGGCGGGGCCAGTTGTGGAAAGTGCCACGAATCTTGGAATTGACGATACTGTGGGCCGACCTAGGAGGACTCGCAAGCGGTCCAAGAAGTTCGGGATTCGGATGCAGAGCCTTAAAAAGCAAGCTGGGAAGGTGCGGGCTATAGGGAAATCATTGGGGAGGTACTCTAAGCGGATATTTGTTTCAGGATCTCTCCCTTGCGTAGAATACGGTTCTTGCGCGCATGGCATTTCTGATAAGGAATTGCTTCAGATCCGACAGTCTGCTGGCAAGGTCCTTCGCCCGCAGGCTGCTGAACGGTCACTTACCACTCTCATGATTCTAGAGGACGACCCGTCCTGGAGATGTGCGATCGCCCCGATCCTGAGGTTTTCGAAGGAGGTCTGGGCGGCGCATACCCACTCATATCCATACTCGTTCACTTTCCAGGATTTGAGGGCTGCTTGGGAAGTTGGGTACAGGGATGCTGATGTCACGGAGTGGAAAAAGGTTTGTGGGCCTATGGGGGCCTTGAAGTTATCCCTCTAGAGGTTATCTTGGGGCATGAATGGGTTTACGGTATTGGTGAATGATTTTGGGGAAGAAACCGCCTTGACCTATGTGGCTCCAGCGTTGCTTAAGGAGTTGCTCTTCAGTGCGTGCCTTAGAGCCCTTGAGAGGGAAGCGGCTGTCAAGGCCGGCCTTAGTTGCAGCCGTCTGTGTTTCGATGTCGTGCGAGCGAAGCTCAGATCGAAGCGATCGTCTCCGCTCGCCAGAGGTTGTGTGGAATCATTGGTCTGTGGGGCGATTTGGACTGCGAGTCGAGCCCAATCGAAAGGATATCAGGTTCCCCACACTAAGTGCGCGCTTTGTGGGGTGGCTGTCGACTCGGAGTTCCACCGCCTCTGGGAGTGCCAGAGCTGTATGGACGCACGGCTGGGGATTGTTGACCAGTCCGACATCGATCGGGCACTTGCGGCTGAAGGTGATGAAGAAAAGCTGCTGTTTTCTCGGGGTGTTTTTCCTCATCCTGGAGATGTTCACCCGAGGCCCTCGGCTCCTGGGACGGCTGACCTTCGGTGGACGGACTTATCCAGGGACGGCGGGGACTTCCAGGGAAACTTGTTCGTGGATGGCAGCTGTACTAGACACATCATTCCTGAGCTCCAACGGGCTGGCTGGGGGGTGACTCAGATGAGTGCGGGCGGTGAGGTTGAAGGCAGGCTTATTGGTCCCGTGCCCTACCCCCTTAAGGCCTCCCCCCAGGCTGCTGAGTTTCAGGCCATGGCCATGTGTGCTCTGCAGGTTGTAGGAGAGTCTGATGTGTTTAGTGACTGTCTCAATGTCGTCAAACTATGTAATATGCCAGCCGAGCAGCAGCTGAACTATTTTCGACCCTGCGCTGGCATGATGCAGTATGTTCAGCAGGGTGCCCAGTTCCTTAGGGTTCGCAAAGTTAAGGCTCATTTGGACCCTGAGGCCGAAGGTATCTCTGCGGATGAGAGGTGGAGGCGTCAGGGGAACGCCGCCGCCGACAGGGCTGCCAAAGCTGGTGCTGCCATGCACCCGACGTGGTCAGAGTTAGAAGAAGAAGTTTTGCAATTTCAATTGAAGGTTTCAAAGAAGGTTTGCAACCTCGCAGCAGCATTGCTCCCATTATGGCCCCGACTCGACCTCTCAGAGGTCGAGCTGGTCCTTCCCCCTCGTCGTGAGCGCCCTGAGGTCCCCCCCCCTCCCGGGCATGAATGGGAGTGGCTGCGAGGTTTCTTCTTGTGTAGGAAGTGCAATCAGGTAAGCAGAGGCACGGTAGCCCCGACGGGGGGGGGTTGTGTCGAGGCTTCCAGGCTTGATGCTGACTCCCTCCGCTCTCTGGGGCATAGTTGTCTCACCCTGGAGTGCAGTGATGGAGCTCACCTCACGGTTTGTCTTACGTGCAAATGCTATCCGAGTCATGGCCAAGTGCGGGGGTTGGCCCAAAAGTGTGACCAGCCGCCCCGCCACACTACTGATAATTAGAAATTGATCTGCAAGGGCAGACATCCCAAACGGTTTAAGACCCACGGCATCACAGTGGAAATTGGTCCCTGGTCCGTTCTGTGATTGCTGTGGCCTTTCGGTCTTTCTGTCTTGATTTTCTGTGGTGCTGGGTGGCCCATTTAGTTTCCTTACATGCACGGCCCGATGCGACTGACCCTATTGGCAGGCATCCGTGCTAAACCCCACATCTGGGGCGAGACTGAGGTCGTCCTGGCGCTGCTTGCACCAGGGGCTTCGGTCCTCGTCGTCCTTGTGTGGGTGGTCGAGTTTTCCCAGTGGCGAGGGTTCGCCTTTCGCTTGTCTCTGCGCGGCCCGATGCGGCTGGCCCTTTTGGCAGGCATCCGTGCTTTACCCCACATCTGGGGCGTGACCGTATGTCGTCCTGGCGCTGGCTGCACCAGGGACTGCGGGCTCGTCGTCCTTTTGTGGGTGGTCGAATCTTCTTCTTTGCTTGGTTGTGTGCAGTTCGTTGTGCGTGAGTCCGTCGTGCACGCGTGTCAGGCACCCCAATCCTGGGGGAAGGTGCGTGCACACATAGGGTGCGCTTCTGCATGTCCGAGCACGGGGGTATCTTTATCCTGACTGTTGCTCGTCTGATGTTGCTGTGGCCTGGAGCTTTGGTTCCTGGCCCCAACATCTTTTTGGTAGGCGTTGGGCGCGCGTCTTCGTGCGTGGGTACGTTGCTCGTCCCTTGTCTTGCCCTCCTCCTCCTGGAGCCACAGGCTCTTATGGAGGGGCGCTGTTTTGTTCGCAGTCCCTCTTGTACAGCCGAGGGCAGTCGTGCTTGCAGTGGAAGTCGCTATTTCGTTGGCGGGGGAGGTCCTGCTTACCCGTCGCTGGGGTGAGCAAGGCCGAGCCCGTCCTGGAGGGCAGAGCATTCCTTGCTCGGCCCTCCACCTTCAGCAGCAGCTCCGACAACTGGGCTGCTGAGCGCCAAGGAACGCCCTCAGACGAGTGCCAGTCGTCTGTTGAAGTCAGGCAGAGGTCCTTGTTAAAACAAACCCTCCTCCTCCTCCTCCTCCTCCTCCTCCTCCTCCTCCTCCTCCTCCTCCTCCTCCTCCTCCTCCTCCTCCTCCTCCCTCTGCTGCTTATGGTGGTTGTGGTGGTGGGAATCTGGCCCATCACAAAATCCAGAGGAGGAGCCGCGCCTCGGGAGCCGCACGCTGCCTGCTTGCTAGCCATGCTCGCCGCGCGTGTGGCCGCGCTGCGGCCCGCGCCCGTGACCCGCCTGGGTGTCCAGCAGGGCCTTGCCGCCTTCCAGCGGGGCCTGGGCGCGCAGGATGTGCAGACCAGGAATTCAGGAGCGAAAGAAGGACGTACACACATGAATCCACTCGACTAGACGTACGAGTGACCATTCGCCGGAGTGATTTTTGGTGCGGGCACAGATGGGTCCCCAGATGGCTGAAAACGAAGCAGCAGCAGCTGCTTGCGCGCCCAGGTTTGGCCCCCCCGCGGCCCCCCAAAAAGTCGCGCACCAAAGGTCACTCTTACCCAGGGTCACTCTTGCGTATAGCCGATCCACGTTGGTTTCGAAAGTGCGCATTGCGCGAACGTTCGCGAAGCAAGGGTGGCCTCGCGGATCGGGGGACCGTATTCGTGTACGTGGTTGGGCGCGTACGTCATATGTGGGCTCCCGAGGAATGCCGCGACGCTGAAGACGCTGCAGATCCGCATGAAGGCACCCTGACAACCCAGAAACGACTCATATTCCTGGCGATTGCTGTTCCCAACCATCCGTTGGTGTTGGGTCTTCGTTTTGAAGAGAGCGCCCCGCGTCTCCTCTTTCCTCCTCCCCCCCTTCCTCCTCCCCCTCCGTGCCTCTGCCCTCCGCATCTCGTCTTGGCACAGCCCTAACACGTTCCGCGGCCCCACAGGGAGCTCCACCGAAGGCCTCAGTAGCAGCGTTCGCATTCGGTTTCCCCACCCAGTACAGCGCTTCGCGGCCCCATAGGGAGGTGTCCGCATGTGGTTGCCCCACCCAGTACAGGGCTTCGTGGCCTCATAGGGGCCCTTACCGAACGCCTCAGTGGCGGTGTTCGCATGCGGCTTCCCCATTCAGTAGTCACAGTTACAGCGTTTCGTGGGCCCATAGGGAGCTCCACCGAAGGCCTAAGTTGTGGTGTTCGCATGCGGTTTCCCTGCACAGGTACAGCGATTCGCGGCACCATAGGGAGCTCCACCGGGGGCCTCAAAGGCGGCGGTCGCATGTGGTTCCCCCGCCCAGTACAGTTTTTCGTGGCCCCATGGGGAACTCCACCGAAGACCTCCGCGGCAGTGTCCGCATGCGGTTCCCCCACCGTGTACAGCGCTTCGTGGCCCCATAGGGAGCTCCACCGCAGGCCTCAGTGGCGGTGTCCGCATGCGTATCCCTCACCCAGTACAGCGCTTCGTGGCCCCATAGGGAACTCCACCGAAGGATTCAGTGGTGGTGTTCGCATGCGGTTTTCCCTCCCAGTACAGCGTTCCGTGGTCCCATAAAGGAGCCTCACCGAAGGTTTCAGTGGCGATGTCCGCATGCGGTTCACCCACGCAGTGCAGCGTTTGTGGCCTCATAGGGTGCTCCACCGAAGGCCTCAATGGCGGTATCCGCATGCGGTTCACCCACCCAGTGCAGCGTTTGTGGCCCTGCAGGGAGCTCCACCGAGGGCCTCAGTGGCGGTGTCCGCATGCGGTTCACCCACGAAGCACAGCGTTTCGTTGCCCCATAGGGGGTTTAACCGAAGGCCTCAGTGGCGGTGTCCGCATGCGCGTGCCCCGCCCAATACAGCGCTCCGTGGCCCCACAGGGAGCTCCACAAAAGGCTTCAGTGGCGGCGTTCGCATGCGGTTGCCCCGCCCAGTACAGCGCTTCGTGGCCCCATAGGGAGCTCCACCGAAGGCTTCAGTGGCGGCGTTCTCATGCGGGTCCCCCGCCCAGTACAGCGCTTCGTGCCACAATGGGGCGCTCCAATGAAGGCCTCAGTGACGGTGTCCGCATGCGGTTCCCCCACCCAGTACAGCGCTTCGCGGAGTTTGCATGCGGTTCCCCCACCCAGTGCAGCGCTTCGTCGCCGCATAGGGAGCTCCTTCGAAGGCCCAAGTGGCGGTGTCCGCATGCATCTCCCCCACTCAGTACAGCATTTCGCGGCCCCATAAGGAGTTGTCCGCATGTGGTCTCCTCACCCAGTACAGCGTTTCGTGGCCCCATAGGGAGCTCCACCGAAGGCCTCAATGGCGGCGTTCGCATGCGGCTTCCCCACCCAGTACAGCATTTCGTGGCCCCATAGGGAGCTCCACATAAGGCCTCAGTGCAACGTTTTGTGGCCCCATAATGAACTCCACCGAAGGCCTCAGTGGCGGCGTTCGCATGCGGCTTCCCCACCCAGTACATCGCTTCACTGCCCCGTATCCACCGAAGGCCTCAGTGGCGGTGTCCGCATGTGGTTCACCCACTAAGTGCAGCGTCGGTGGCATCATAAGGTGCTCCACCGAGGGCCTCAGTGGCGGTGTCCGCATGCGGTTCACCCACGAAGCACAGCGCTTCGTGGCCCCATAGGGAGCTCTACCGAATGCCTAAGTGGCGGTCTTCGCATGCTGTTCCCCCACCCAGTGCAGCGTTCCGTGTCCCCATAGGGAGTTCAACCGAAGGCCCCCAGTGGCAGTGTCCGCATGCGGTTCTCCCTCCCAGAACAGCGTTTCGTGGCCCCGTAGGGAGCTCCACCGAAGGCCTCAGTGGCGGCGTTCGCATGCGTTGCCCCGACTCAGTACAGCGCTTCGTGGCCCCATAGGGAGCTCCACCGCAGGCCTCAGTGGCGGTGTCTGCATGTGGTTCCCCCATCCAGCACAGCGCTTCGTAGCCCAATAGGGAGCTCCACCTAAGGCCCCAGAGCGTCTCCCCCACCCAGTGCAGCATCTCGTGGCCCCATCGGGAGTTCCACCGGAGGCCCCATTGGCGGCCCTGCCCCATTGCGGCGGACCCCTCACGTTTCGTGGCCGCAGAGTGGGTTCCACCTGAAGCCCCCGTGTCAGCGCCCACATGGCGGCCCCGCCCCATCTCGGCACACCCTTCGCATACCTCGTCGCCCCATGAGGAGATCCCCCGAAGGCGATGCACGCAACGACGGTATTCACAACTCTGCATGGTTCGGTCCTTCGCCAGGGTAACTTCATCGTTTTTTCACCCTTTAGGTTATTTGTAAGTCGGGCCTGTCCCTCTACAGGGGGTTGTCGGGGGACCATTTTTTGAGTATTCTTGGGCATCTTCTGAATATGTTTGACCATTTGTTATTTTTCGTCGAACCCCCCCCCTGTAGGGGGACACGCCCGACTTAACCCTTTAGGTCATTTATCGACTTCGGCCCTCCGGAGCCACACACACACACACATCCTCGGACCCGGGGGGCCGTCGCAAACGGGCCTCGGTCGGAAAAATACCCCGTGCGAAGGGGTGAACGTCCTTGGGGCCGCGCATTCAAGATAATCACATCGTTGGAGGAGGAGGAGGAGGAAAAGGAGTAGGAGGAGGAGGAGGAGGAGGAGGAGGAGGGGAGGAGAGGAGGAGGAGGAGGAGGAGGAGGGGGGGAGGAGGAGGAGGACAGGAGGGAGGAGGAGGAGGAGGAGGAGGAGGAGGGAGGAGGGGGAGGAGGAGAGGAGGGAGGAGGAGGAGGACGAGGAGGAGGAGGAAGGGGGAGGAGGAGGAGGCGCAGGAGGGGAGGAGCGGAAGGAGGAGGGGAGGAGGAGGTCAGGTCAGGGACACAGACCCGCGTGGACTCCTTGGGTCGGCGCTGGCCTCCCCCCCCTCCGCACCTCGGGGCGCGCCTCCGGCGCCGCCCCCGGCGCTCCGCGCAGGGGGGGGGAGGTAATGTCGAGTCGGGCGCGTCCCTCTACAGGACGAATATTCAAAAATAATAACAACTCGCCCAGGGGCGATTTTTTGACTGTTTGGGAATCGATTCGGAATATTTGGGGGGGGGTTTTACTTTTCGTCCACAATCCGCCTGTAGGGGGACACGCCCGACGTAATGGTAATGTGGAAGGAGGGTCTCGCGGCGACCCAAGAAATCCGCACGGAGTTTTGAAATTGTGGGCTTATGCCTTCTGTTGCGCCTCCAGGCCATCAACAACATGAAAAAGATCACGAAGGCCATGAAGATGGTCGCCACGGCCAAGTTCAAGAAGGACATGAAGAACATGGAAAACGGGATGCCCTTCGGCAAGCCTGTGCTGGACTTGATGGAGAGGCTGCCACGACAGGAGAAGGCGGGGCCCATCACTTACCTCGCCGTCACTTCCGACAAGGGCCTGTGCGGCGGCGTGAACTCGGCGGTGGCGAAACAGGTGAGGCTGGGCCTGGCGGACGAGGAGGCCAAGGGCAACGCCGGGAAGATCTTCATTCTGGGAGGCAAGGGAGTGTCCTCTATGAAGCTCAAGCTCGGGGACCGATTCAACTACTCGTTCGAGGAGGCGAGCAAGATGCCGTGGACGTTCGCCACCGCCTCGCTCGTGGCCGAGCGGCTCGTGGCCTCGAGGCCTGCCCGCCTCAAGATCGTCAGCAACAACTTCAAGTCCATGGTGGCCTACGACACCACCGTCAAGCACACGATCACCCTGGAGGAGGCGCAGACGATGGACAAGGCAGAGTGGTCCAAGGCTCGACCAAGCGCAAAAGCAGCACGAGCAACAGCCTGCGGAGGTCCCGCGAGGACTCCCCGGGCCGACGCCGGACCCCCTTTCCCACACCCGTGGCGGCGCCTCTGGTGCTGCCCCCAGGACTTGGCATCGCTCGGACGTGTGCATTTATCCTTCGGCGAGGACCATCGAGGAGCATCCTTGATGATTTGGCGAAACAGCCACGCACGAAACCGAAAAAAACACAGGGAATGGACGTCCGAGCGATGGCCAGGGGAGGGGTGCTGAGAGGGGGAGCCTCCGAAGATTGCGCTTGTTTTTTGTTGTGTCGGCGTGTTCCGCCAAAGGCGATGGACGTGTACTCCTTCGAGCCGTCCATCTACGAGGTGTGGGCCGACCTGCACGAGTTCTACTACGGGTGCGCGGTGTACACCGCCTTCCTGCAGAGCTCTACGACGGAGACGGCGCAGCGGATGAGCGCCATGGAGAACGCCTCGAAGAACGCGGGCGAGATGTACGAGAAGGTCTCGCTCATGTTCAACCGGGCGCGGCAGGCGAAGATCACCACGGAGCTGTGTGAGATCATCAGCGGCGCCTCGGCGGTGTAGGAAGGGCGCTTCTCTCCGCAGCAGGCAGCCACACGCTACCACCACGCCCGCGCAGGACCATCTGGAGCCCCACTGGGGCGGTGCACGGATCCCTCTTCCTGGCCTCGGCCAGGCGGGTCTCTGCACCGGCCAGGAGCTGTGGTGGTGCATTGATGCCGTCTGCGCTTCCTCCGCTCAGCCTCCCTCCCCACCCTTCTTCCTCCTCCTCCTCCTCCTCCTTCTCCTCCTCCTCCTCCTCCCCCTCCTCCTCCTCCTCCTCCTCCTCCTCCTCCTCCTCCTCCTCCTCCTCCTCCTCCTCCTCCTCCTCCCGACGCCCGATGCCCCACGCCGTCTGCTCTCTCCCTCCCCCGCCCCCCCTGCCGCAGCCTCCCTCTGGCCGGCCTCTCGCGGCACGCGCAGCTCTGAGATAGTTTCCGCCGAAAGAAGCGCGGCGCCGCCGCGTGGGCCCCCGGCAGCAGGCCCATCGCACCCCCGAGGCGCCCGGCGTGCGTGTTGCAGGCCACAGGGCACCGGCCGCCCGGGCGCCACAGAGCACCAATCCTGGGGCACCTGCCACAGGGCACCGGTCACATGGAGGAGGAGGAGGAGGAGGAGGAGGAGGAGGAGGAGGAGGAGGAAACGACAGAGGAGGAGGAGGAGGAGGAGGAGGAGGAGGAGGAGGAGGAGGAGGAGGGCGACGGCGACGGCGAGCAGGAGGAGGAGGAGGAGGAGGAGGAAGAGGCGGAGAAGGAGGAGGAGGAGGAGGAGGAGGAGGAGGAGGAGGGCGACGACGAGCAGGAGGAGGAGGAGGAGGAGGAGGAGGAGGAGGAGGAGGAGGAGGAGCAGGAGGAGGAGGAGGGCACCAGCCACATGGCACCTACCACAGGGCACCACGGCGCCCCAAGCATCGGGCGCTGACCCTGGGGCACCAGCCACGGAGCACAGCGCGCGAGCGGCCACGGAGCACCGACCAGGAGCACGGGGGAAACCAGCCAGAGCGCACCGAGCGGGAGCGGACTGACAGCACCGACTGGGAGCGGGGAGACCGTGTGGAGGAAAGGGAATAGAGTTCTTGTGAACATTCATCGTCCCTCCAGCGACGGGGTCCTCGGCCTTCTCTGGCATGGCTTCGAGGAGGAGTGGGGGGACGGGGAGGGGCGAATAGGCGCGGGGGGTCGGTTTTATTCGTGCTGCTGAAGCCCTTCACGCGGATCTTGCGCATCTTGGGCGCAGCGGCCTTTCCAGTTCGAATTTGCCGTCGCTGACTGGGGAGGCTGAAACCAGTGCCTCGCCTGAGACATCCTCGCGAACTGCTCCGAAGGCAGCCGATGTTGAGCACGCAAACAGGCAAACCGCCTGAGACATCCCCACAATCTGGGCGCGAACGGGCCCGTGCAATACCCCTGGCGCCCGCCCTTGGGGAGGCTGAAACCAGCGCCTCGCCTGAGACATCCTCGCAAAACGGCCCCGACGGCAGCGGATGTTGGGCACGCAAACAGGCAAACCGCTTGAGACTCCCCACAACCTGGGCGCGAACGGGCCCGTGCAATACCCCTGGCGCCCGCCCTTGGGGAGGCTGAAACCAGCGCCTCGCCCGAGACATCCTCGCAAAACGGCCCCGACGGCAGCGGATGTTGGGCGCGCAAACAGGCAAACCGCTTGAGACATACCCACAATCTGGGCGCGAACGGGCCCGTGCAATACCCCTGGCGCCCCCCCGCTGGGGGAAGCTGAAACCAGCGCCTTGCCTGAGACATCCTCGCAAATCCGAGTGCACTTCAGTGTGAGCTGAGAGCGAGTCTGAGGCTCATGGCGCGAGCTTTGTTGCTCTGGTAGTGAGTGCGCTTACATGTTAGTGAGTCGGAGTATGAGTCAGACTAGATGTGAGTGAAACATCGTATGAGTAACCTCAGTCTGATTAATCTTGGGTATGAGAAGTCCTGCGAATGTGTGTAAGCTGGGGAAAGCGACTCGGAATGTGAGCGAGTCGGTATGTGAGTGATCCCGAGCATGAGAAATCTGAGCACCAGTAATCTGAGAGCGAGTGCAACCGAGTATGAGTTAGTCTGAGTATGAATGAGTCTACATGTGAGTGAATCAGAGAATGATGACCTGAGGGTGGGAGGTTCCTGTGTGTGTGTGTGTTCGCTCCGCGCGGTCAAAGAAATAACAAGAAATCCATCCTCAGGATATGGGGCATCAGACTTGATGTTCGGATGCCCGTGCGGTTTTTTCGGATCGTCGACTTCGGTGCCCCTCCTGGCGCGGTCCGCGCGCCAGGGAGGGCAGTCCATCGCCGATCCAAGACATCCGCGCGTACCTGGGATATTTATATCTACGCGTGTGTCGTTTGTTCAACCTATGTCGATGCGTGGTGTGCTTTTTGATTGACTTTGTCACTCCGAAGCCAGGTCGGGCAGTGACACAGCCATGACCGGGCAGGAGGTTGGGCCAACCGTTATTATGCAATTGCGTGGATAGTGGCCTGCACAGGAAGCTTCCAAAAGCCCACCCAGCCGCGCGTGGTCAGTCCTGCACGGTTCTGAGAGTTGTATCGTGTATTTTTGTTGGGGTGCTCGCATCGTATAGCCTGAATGGGCACAAGCGCACCAGATGCTACGCTAGCCCAGTTAACAATCAAGCAAGTATGTCAGAGCAAAGATGCGGCTAGCCCAGTTAACAATCAAGCAAGTATGTCAGAGCAAAGATGCGCCGCCGTTGGATCTGTGTTATCCCGCTGCGACGAGGTAAGGTATGACACCCCTGCTGCAGAATGCCGTAAACAGCTGCACGCTGTCCGCGACGGGGGGCCACGGTGGGCTCCCGAGTTCGGCGGGTCCGGCTCCTCACCAGGCGTACAGTCGGGGCGTTGACCTAAGGAACCCTAAATAAGGAACGAGGCCGCTTTTTTCATCTTTTTTCCATAAGTTAACTTTCGATCTCCTGTCGAAAACATAAGGAACGCCCGAGGCAAGCTGTGAAAAACTTAGTTAAGGAACGCGGAGCCCCTCCCCAACGAGAAGGGTTCCCTCTTCAGGGCCCCGACTGTCTGTACGGACAAGTGGAGTCAGAAGGTAGAAGTCGGCTCTGGGAAAGGGGTCGATCGAGTGTTCTGGGGCCTCATCTTTAGCATCACGCAGCGCGGCATCGGAGGTGCAGGCCCTCATCTCGACCGTTCTCGTTGTCCTCGGGAGATCTCTTACCTCATCAGCATCAGTGCCGACACCACAGCGTGGAGTCCACTCCATGCTCGGTGCGCTGAGGCGCGGTGTCCAAGGGAGTGCCTCGAGAGGGCAAGCAGTCACCCCGAATTCGGAAACTGGAACATATACATGACCAGTTGCGGGCCGTTTTTCAGTCCTGCGACTTTTCGAGGGTCGCGGACGACGTCGGGGTGGACTGGTGTATACTTTGTTTCCCCGTTTCGCCGGGGAAGCAACGAAACATGTATACACCAGGATCCCGTGTACACCAGGATCTGCTTTCCTGTGCGAACTTCAATGCGGGGCCAGACAAAGCGTCGGTGTAAAGAGAGTTCGGCTCCTCACAAACATCGTCCAACAGGCTCGATCCTGGATCGCCGAGAGGGGGAGCTCCGCCGCCCCCAGCGGCGCGAGGATAGCCGCGCTTTGGCAAGTCGCGGCCCGGGCCGCTGGGCCATACACTTGGCATCTCTCGGACGTGTGCATTTTTTTCCTTCGGCGAGGACCATTGAGGAGCATCCTTGATCATTCGGCGAAAAAACCACGCACGAAACCGAAAAAAGCACAGGAAATAGACGTCCGAGCGAAGGCTCGATCCTGGATCGCCGAGAGGGGGAGCTCCGCCGCCCCCAGCGGCGCGAGGATAGTCGCGCTTTGGCACGCCGCGGCCCGGGCCGATGGCCAGTACAACCTTCTCCAAAAGGGCGGCGCCGGGGCGCAGCAAAGACGGCCGCGCGCCGCGGGGCGCGTGCGGCAGGCCGGGCGACCCAGGGAGAAGGAGGAGGATCAGGAGGGAACAAAAACACACAGACACAATCAATCTGGAAAGGATGGGAAAATATGGGGGATCCTGTTATTTGGGGAAAACCTGGGAACAAAAACACACAGACACAGAAAATATAGGAAAATCTGGGAAGTGTGGGGGGGAAGACAAGAACCCAGAAGATATGGGAAACTATGGGGAGTCCTGTTATTTGTGTATCTTTATTTGTGTGTCCCCGGGCCCCTTCAGAGGAGGGGGACACGGGGGGGAGTCCGCGGCGGTTCAGGCGGGCCGTGTGCCCGTCGGACCCGCGCCCCTGGCTGCGAGGTCTATACTCTGGACGGGACAAGAATCGGGGGAGAGGGCGACCAACCTTCCGACGGAGCGTCCCCATCCCCCGCGACCACCCCCTCCACTCGCGTCCACAGTTCTCAAGCCTGACGGCGCGCGCCCATCCCCACCCCCCCCGAAACCAAGGGGGGGGCGGGGGGAGCGATCATTGTCCATGCGGAGTGCACCCTCCTGACGTCACGCTTGTTGTTTTTGTTTGTGCGTAGCGTGTCCCCTCTGGGCCGGGCCCCTCGTGCCACAAGATGGAAAAGGCCGAGCAGGAAACGACAGAGGAGGAGGAGGAGGAGGAGGAGGAGGAGGAGGAGGAGGAGGAGGAGGAGGAGGAGGAGGAGGAGGTGGAGGAGAGATCCCTCGGGCCAAGAGGCGGAGAGAGCCGAGCAGACAACGGGGGAGCTCTTCTGGCCGCGGGCGAGCCTCGGCCTCGAGGAGGTGAAAAAGGGAGGGGGCGGCCCGCAGATCTCGGAGCGGCTCCTGAGCCCGGACTGGCCCTCGGCTCTGCATCCTCGGAGTTCGCTGGAGTTGTTTTTTGTTGTCCAGCCCTCCCGTGTTGACTTGGGTCCTCGTTTGGAAGGGGGGGCACTCGAGAAGATAGAGAGTGAAGGAACGGCCCGAACATCGGAGCGGCTCCTGAGCCCGGGCTGGCCCTCGGCTCTGCATCCTCGGAGTTCGCTGGAGTCTTTTTGTCCAGCCCTCCCGTGTTGACTTGGGTCCTCGTTTTGAAGGGGAGGCACTCGAAACGATGTAGAGTGAAGGAGCGGCCCGAACATCGGAACGGCTCCTGAGCCCGGGCTGGCCCTCGGCTCGCGGCTCTGCATCCTCGGAGTTCGTTGGAGTCTTTTTTGTCCAGCCCTCCCGTGTTGACTTGGGTCTTTCTTTTTCAAGGGGGGGCACTCGAGAAGATAGAGAATGAAGGAACGGCCCGA